TCATATCCGACAAAGATTAATACAAATTCACTGAGTTCAGCGTTAATAAAGTTCCTTTAGTATTAACACAAGCACTTTCGATGAATGTATAATCGTCGTCTTCAGGTAAAAAGAACAAATTTTAACTAGACAAACGTGCAGGATGTTCCAAAGGAACAAAATATTTAAATTCAAACAGGCATCCGGAAATTCCGTTAAGAATGTGCAAATAATTTTTGATATGTTCGAATTTTTATATTTTACGATGTTAGCGGCGCATGTGTGGAAATGCTACCGCGTTGGCGATACAATGTTAGGCGCGTTTCGCTTTGGACTACCGATAACTTGGACTAATGTCGTCGCTGGAACCAGAACTTGGATTATTAACCTCAAGAACCTTATTATCAACTATTCAAGAATCAACCAAACTCCAGATATTTATCACCACGCGAATTATTGTAAGCTCTCTCTCTCTCAAGAACGGTCATTTAATTAAACCTTACGATCAAACTATAGAATCTATCCTAGTGTTTCCCATTAAACAGTTGTTATGTTAATCTAGTCTCTGAAGGAATCACTTCCGGTGCACTGTCTCTCACTCCCTCCATCCAGAATCTGATTCGCTCCATTACACGACCGCTTGCGTAACTTAGTTAGCGTGGTTTCCGTGTCAACTGAGACGCGGTGGTGACATCCTGACAGGGCATCGAAGAGGTGCCAACCCTTTGGTCACACACACATGCTAGGTGTTGTATCCAGTGATGGTGATGTCATGCCACTGTATTTCTTTAACAAAGTTGGAAAATGTCACAAAAGAAGTTTATTTGTGTGTTCTGACAAATGTAGTGAAGCTGTGGATGGAAACTATGTCATCTGGAAAGCCATATGTTTTCCAGCAGGACAGTGTGCCCGCCCACACAAGTCATTTGATGCAAAATTGGTTGTTGGACAACATTGACATGTTTTGGTTGAAAGAATTCTGGCCTCCCAACAGCCTAAATTGAATACTTTGGACTTCTATGTATGGAGCATAGTTGAAAGGTAATATGGTAATAAAGGTAATCAGGGGCGCCGCCAGCTGTGTGAACGCCCGTGTGCAATACCGATTATGCCGCCCCCTGTTTAACTACGATTACCTATGCTGAGCTTGCCAGAAAGGCTCTTTGCCGCACCCTGGACGTGCCGCCCGCGTGCGGTGCACGCCTTGCACGCCCGCTTACGACAGCCCTGAAGGTAATAACTTATGAAAGGGTCACAAACAAGTCCAGACATCCAAACGTTGCATCATTGAGAGCCACTATTGATGTGGCATTCACTGTTATGGACACATTAAAGCGTGCCTGCACATGCTTCAGACCAAGAATGGAAATGGTCATTCAAGCAGGATGGGGATATATTGAGTAAATGTATTCTTTATGGCCTTATAAACAATGTGGTTAAAAAAAATTTGTAAGCCTTTTCGTTTTTGCAATAAAAAATATGTTCGGAAAAATGTGTAATTTGTTCGGATTTTGGTGCCACACCCTGTATATATTTAATATGTATGTATATATCAATTTATATATTAGCATATGTATGTATGTACGTACATATGTATGCTGATTCAGATTGTCTCTAGTATCTAGAAACTACAGAGAATCTGAAGTAAATAGTTATTTATTGTAAACTAAGTATTTAAATTTATTAGTTCAATAAATAAAAACTGATACATTAAGATTTTTGAAAATTGAGTTATCAGTTTTTGTTTATTGAACAGTATGGTTCCAAGTTTTACATATTTTCTTAAATATCATGTTGTAATAGTGATACTTAAGACATTTTGATTTTTTTTTCTAGAAATGACTGGAAAAATGTTATATACCCACATCATGTGTTCTAGAAGTAGAGTAATCAAAGAGTATTTCATCACCTATTTCATTGGAAATAGATACATCAGCAATGTCTGACAATACGAAACTTTTGAAAGAACAAATTTGCATGCTGTTGCTCTATCATTTCAAAAGTGACCACAACATAATGAAGGCTCATGATCTCACCTGCAAAGTATTCATTAAAGCATTCATGGTTGAATAAAGATCAACCAACTGTTGCAAACTGAAGGGTCAATAGTATAAAAAAATGATAATTTGCATTTGTTTGGTGCAACATGAAGGAGCTGCTTTCAATCAACATTACTGTCATGAAAGAACTTTATTATGAACAACTGGATTATTTGAATGCCAATATAAAAGACCTTCAAAAATTGACAAAGTCCAATACTGCCATATCAATATGCCAGAACAAAGCAAAGATGAAATTAGAGAAGCTAGTCAGTTTGGGCTGGAAAGTTCTGCTTCATGATGATGATTACTTATCAGGCTCAACTGTAATCATTGTTGAGTTACTTGTCAATAAAGTTTTTTCAAAATATCTAAATTTTACTTTTACAACTTGATATATTAGATTAAGAAGAGAAACAATGAAAAAATATAAATAATAAGAGTGTAATTACTTACCTAGAGGTGTAAAATATAGAACAGATGCCAATAAGAAACCAAAAACTAAATTTTTTAGTAATACAAAAGGACATGACATATGTAGAAAAGTTAAAAGTAGAATACACAATAATCCACATATTACACCACAACTTATAACAAAGATGTCTCGATCTAAAAAAAATTCAATGATTTCAGTAATTAGTATTTTATTAAAATTTGAATAATAATTTTAACATTAAAAGTTCTTACTTAATGATTCCAAATGTGTATATCTAGTTAATAAAATGAAAGAAATAAGAGCAGATGCCAAAAATCCAAAGAAAAATGTAGCTGTGAAAATATCAAAAGCTTGAATTACTATTTGGCTTCATAAAATACAGTAATACCTCGAGTTACATAAGTAATGCAGACCATAGACCTTTACATAACTCAAATTTTACATAAGTTGAATTTGTAAATTGCTTAAGTGTAACTATGTAATTAAGAACTCAATATTGTAGTTATTATTATATGTGTACTGTACATATATTATTTATTATTTTTTTGTATAATTTGATTTGCTGTTTCAATTGCATTGTAATGGTACAGTACTGTAAATAAACAACACTATGTAAATGTAGCAGTGGTAAACAAGTTGTGTATTAAACAAATCACTTGAAGCAAACTACACCAAAGACATGAACAACACATACTTGTAGAAAAACAAGCAATGAAGATGTGCTTGGTTTTGCTGCTCGACATTCACTGGGTACTGTAGAAAAATTTTGATTTTGAGAAAGAGTGCCCAGTTTTCACTGTAAGCACATATGCAAGTGTACACTTGCATACGTGCTTACAGTGCAAAAGAAAGAAAGGAAGAGAATAAATGAATGTTTGAAATAAAATAATTCTTTGTAAAATTACATGTTACTCTACTCAGATTTTTTTTCCAATTTTTGAGATTTACATTTTACTTAACTGAAAATTTACTTGACATGTTACACAACTCAAGGTATTACTGTAAAGTATTTCTATTTGCAACACATACTACAAAACTGAAAAACAAAAAACATTCATTTAATTCAGCAACAGAAATTTCAGTTTAATATGATAAATTCATTCTCTTTATTAGAGAGAATACAAAATTATATTAATTTGAAATGTTAATTATAATTAAAATAAATAAAACTAAACAACAATATTTCATTACAAATAAAGATATATTCTTAAAAATTCACCTATTTTACTGCGTATAGAAATATATATGTGGTAGAGTCAACAATAAACTAAACTGTTAATGTATGAGGGTGATTCAAAAATTAAGGTAACAAGAGCTCAAACGGGTATCATATTCCTCCTCTTGTTCGAATTTCCCATTAGAGCAGCAGCAGAAGACCACAGCTTTATCGCACAGGGTTAGATGATGCAAATGTTGCATCAGACTCTTGCAATATCATTTTGAAAATGACAGTGCTCACGAAAATGTGGTCAAACATAGAAGTGTGTAGTGTGATTCAGTCTGAAGGGCAACTAACCAGTAGAAATTCATCGTCAACTTGTTGATGTGTACAGTGGTAATGTCATGTCACAAAAACAGCTGTTGGTTTGGTGCACTGAGTTCGATAAAGACAAGACAGATGTGCAAATTGAGCAAACCGAATTGTTACGGTGCTTCAAGTGGGAGGTACTGGAACATCTTCTCTGTAGTCTCAACCTGGCACCCTGTGATTTCCATCCCTTCGGACCATTGAAGAAGCATCTGGGTGGTAAGCGATTCCAAACTGATACGGAAGTTCAGAAAGCCATCATGGCGTGGCTGAAGGGACTTGATGCAGATTTCTTCTCTGCCAGCATCGATGCCTTGGTATATCATGGGAATAAATGTTTGGATAAACATGGTGAAATAATATGTACATACCATTGCCATAATAATCTGTATCACTATATCTGCCTGTGAAATAAAATTTGTACAGGAGAGCTCTTGTTACCTTACTTTTTGAATCACCCTTGTAATTTATTACTAACATAATAAAAGTTAACTATTTATAGATGGTTACCTACAAAATGAGCATCTTCTGTATTAAATACTTCTGCTATCCATTTATCAAAGCAGTACTGGAAGCCATGTTCTGTGATGACTTTAAAGGCTTTACTTGATGCAGCTTCTGCTTTGGCTTCCAGCCATCATTTCCAGTCAGTAAATATCAAGAGAGACATAACAGTACTTTCCCAACCTCATTGATTTTGCCTTGCAGACTTTTATCTGTTCCTTAAAATGAAATATGATGTAGATTCCAGTAAGGAGCAGAATACAAGTATCAGTGACAAGAGCCTAAGAGCCATTAAACACATCACACAAAATGGCTTCTAGAATTGCTTTGACAATATGGTGTAAGAATTTCTATACTCAAATTGAACGAAGTATTGAATCTTGATTTGTATAACTGTTCTTATAATGCTTATCTAGAATTTTATATCATTTCACAGGAAATAAATGCATTTTATCAAAATATTTTCAAAACAACAATTTAAGAACTCTCTAATAACAACAATTTATTTCATAATTACCATAATGTTTCTCATAAAAATGATTTTGATATACAGTAGAGCGTCGTTTATCCAAAAGTCCGTTATCCGAAAGAATTCCAGTTGGCAAATTTAAATTTTCGCTAGTGNCTGAGGAGGAGCTAGTAAACTAATCTAGCTCGAAATGCATCTGTAAAAAACAATAAAAAGAGTTTATAACCTGAATTGGCTGTGAGGTAGTCTACTGGAGAGATTTTTTCGGATTGAAGAGACGTTCACTAAAACAACATATAAAACAGCTAACACATCAGAAAATTCAGAGTTTTTAATTCCTGTCAAATATATACTGTTTTATAATGTTTATGAATTATACTAAGATGAATCTATAGGAAGAAATTTTCATTAAATGTATTGTGTTTGTTTTAACTTTTTTCTACTGATGAATTAATATAATAATTAGGTTTTGGACTTGGTAATGAGTTTTTTTTTTTTTTTTTTTGATGGAAATGGATGAGATTCTTGCTAAATGAACAAATTTGTTGTAAGATAGGATAAACGTTTGCATTAAAAAATAATTTTAAAATATTTGTAATTCTAAATTATATGGTAACTTTTATAAAAATGATTGTACAGGTGCCACTGTGCAATGGATAAGGGACTAAGAGAGTCCAAAATGCATTTTGTGAAACATGGTACTTCAGAGAAATAAAGTACTTTTGAAAAAACACAAAAAAAAAAACAGCCAGTCTTTGAAAATATACCTTTTTATAATATAATTTACCAGTATAGTTCAAGAAAAAGAATTTAAAATGTTTATGAATATTTACATCCTTGATTTATTTAACTTATAAAACTTACTGTTTTTGTATCAGGAAATAAAATCAAAGTGCTCAGCAACACAATACAAGAAAACAATAACCAATAATTAATATCATTTCTTAATATTTTGATTTCACCTGAAAATAAAAATAAATCAAATTAACAACATTCATATAATTAGATTGTTTTTCAGTACTAAACTGATACTGAAATATCTAATTGCTTCAAATGTTTATTGTAACTTACTAACAAGACATAAAATTCAATTTTTATTTTATTTGTTCAATAAAATAAAAATTAAAATATGTACTGAGTGTTATATATAAAATGTAATTTGTCTACAAGGACTTATTTTATTACTAGGACTTATTATACTGGTGACTTATGTTTTCTTGAATTGCAGAACAAAGTCACCAGTATGAGTCTTAGTAATAAAATAAGTCTTTGTAGACAAATTATGTACTAAACATACGATAAGGACACAAAGGCATATAATTTGATATATAACATTCAATTTTTAAATAAGAAAACATTTCTCACATATATTGATCTTCTACTATATTCTGAAATAAACATTTTTACGAATTTAGGTAAGAAAAGGCAAACATATTTTACATTTTCTTACAGTGAATGCATTTTCTTAAAGAAATGCATTTACTGTAAATTTTTCTCTTTGAGTCAATCAATAAAATGCCATTGCATCTCCATAAAATCATTGCCATAACCTTCTTTGTCGACAGTGACACTTTCACCTTCTTCAGAGATTCCCCTGCACAGTACCATTTCATCAATTCTCTTTTGGACAGAGGATCATAGTATAGAACCATAGTCTCATCTCCAATAATAATGGACTGCAGATACTTTCTTTTGTTCTCTTCACAGAGCTCCAAAAACTGTCAAGTGCAGTTGACCCTCTGTTTTGAATTACAGAAAGAATTTTAGGCCCCAATATACACTGACCTTGTTCATTAACAAATGTCCATGAAGAATTCAAAAAACTATTGCTTTGACAAGTTCAATCTTACAACAGTTTTTCTTTTGTCTTCAGATGTCAATTGGAAAGCATTTCATTCTTGGCAAGTGTGATGGTTTTCTTCAGTGATCACTGTGGCTGGATGTCCACTGTGTGGTTCATTGTTGAGAAATTCTCTTCAAAACTTAAAAAGTTTTGGCCATTGTTTCACCATTAAATATGAAGGAGAAGCATTGTTATATTATACGTATTACAAATGTATTTGTGAATTTCCAATGGCAAGAAACCTTCTTTTGTCAATAACTTTATCACTAAACAATACTCACAATTTGGCATAATGTATACAGATTATATTAAATCAAGTTATCTGATTCGTGGGACTGAACATATAAGAATGCAACTGAGGGCATTAGTATCTCAAATGTTAAGCTTCACATTGCCACCGCTCACATTTTTCTGTGCATATGCAAAGTAGGTCAAGCCAAGAACTTTAAACCTTACTATGTATATAACTTAGTTTACTTGCAATAAATAATTAACAAATTTACATCAGTAGAATTGATTCTGTTGACATAAATTTTTCTTGAGTATTTTTTCAAAAAAAAATTCTGTGGATGAGCATGTAGAAATTAAGGTGCATCTATGATTTGATGGAGTCTTATATTCAAGTAAATATGCTATACTTTAAAATTGTTTTCCTGATACTATTTTTAAAATATAAACAAATCAGTTCAATAATACAGATATATACATTTTATTTAAATCTTATATATACATACATACATAGATATCCTTTGCTTAACTTGATCTCATTCGTGCAGGATTCATTATAGTTAATTTATAATAATACATGCCAGAGGATTCAATTAACATAGAATGATTCACTATAACATAGTAGTAACTGTCAGCTTAATACATATAATGAAAAGTATAACTACATTTAAAAATAAATTGGAACAAATGTTAAATGATAAGTAGATGAAGCCATTTTAAATTCTTAACCTACAAATTTATTTTAATAAAAGGTTGTATAGTCTTTTAGAAACAAATTTCTTTGCTCTTAATTATCTATGTGGTGATTAAAAATTTTAAAGCAAAAGTTTACTGTACTGCACACTGATGAAAGCAATATGGCCAACTGCACACTGGGAATGACAACAAAACATTTAAATATGCTAACACTTTTTTTTATGAACTTTACAAGAACTTGCAAAAATGTTTGTGGCAGTCAAAACCACTTCTGACATAATTTTGAATAATTATTCAAACAAAGAATACACCAATCACTGAAAAAATATTTTAAAATGTAATTTAGTTTACCAAAGGCATTATGCAATAAAGAAAAATGAGAAGCAAGTCCATATAAGGAATAATGAATAATTTTTTTCTTGTTTTAATAAATATATTTTAAAATATAAAAATTGCAAAATAAAAGTAATTATAATTTAAATTTAATAGCATCTTATCATTTTTTTCATGCTGTAGTTTTTTGGATTTTATGACCTGTTTCATAACAGTCAATATTAGTCATTTTTAAGTAAAAAAATTCTTTTTTAATTTAAATTGTCAATTTTCTTAAACATATTTCCAAATTAGTATGGTAATTTTCTATAACGCATTAATAACACAAAATGGGATATTCCTTTGTGTGTGTTCATATATACATGGTGCGGCACCAAAATCCAGACAAAATTCAATTTCAAATTCCCACCATTCTATACCACCGGTAGATGTTGTGTTTGGCGTTCAAATAGCTTGACACATGTACTAAACCATCATAACCTCGAAACAGTCACAATGTTGAAACCAAGTGCGGAGTATAACCAAAGAGCTGCAATTATCGAAAGTGTTCGTGCTGGGTGCTCAGTGACAGAAATCATTCGGTTCTTCAGGTACCCAAGATCGACTGTGTATGGTGTTGTTGCAAAGTACAATGAGTCGGAGAAGTCCAATGAAGGTTTTACAACACAGGCAAGGAAAACTCACTCAAAGGAGCACGTTGTCAGGATGCCTGAAATCATTCAACAGGCTCAGGAGCTGATTTTTGAGAATCCAGGTCAGTCGATCCAAAAATTGTCATTGGTTCTTGGTGTGAGCAAGAAACCTATCGTCGAGGAGGACCTCTGCTACAAGTCTTACACAATTAAAGTAAGACAGATGCTTTCTGAAGCCACCTGGTCAAAGAGTTGAATGATGTAACCTGCTTTTGTGTTCCTTAAGGAGCAATGCTGCCAGATGACTTAGATTTTTTCTGATGAGAAAAGTTTTACTGTCGATGCAAAAATCAATTGAAGGAATGACCACTGGCTCACCCACGACCCTGATGTCCCCATTATTGCAAGAACAAAATTTCTGGCGAATGCTCATGTGAGACTCAGCGGTGTTTATTAACCTACAATCTGACCTAAATCGTTAACAATACTATTTTATCGAGTAAGTATCAAATTTCACACCTGGGAGTTAATCACTCAGCAAGTTCTCAGTGGCAAAAAGATGCTTTCACATAACCTTCCAACCTATTATCGCAAAAATGTCAAATTAATATAGCTACAAACAGATTTTCGTCACAGTCGCAGCCGTTCCTCTAACAGAAGTCGTCAGCTCACAACCGGACTTATTACGTGCCTCCTATTTGGATTAACTTCAACCAGACTTATTATGTGCCTCCTATTTGGATTAACTTCATCACCTACCATACTTTTTTAGTGCCTAATATAACATTGGACTAAAAATAAATTTAAAAACTCACGCCAATGTTTGTATAACTTATGGATAAAAATTCACTGAGTTCAGCGTTAATAAAGTTTCTTTAGTATTAACACAAGCACTTTCGACGAATGTATAATCGTCGTCTTCAGGTGAAAAGAATAAAATTTTAACAAGACAAACGTGCAGGATATTCCAAAGGAACAAAATATTTAAAATTCAAACAGGNCGGGAAAATAAAATATCCCAGGATTTTTCTCTTAGGGAATAAACGGCGGGAATCCCGGGAAAGAAACCATAATTAACATGTCTAGATTATAGTATTAAGTATTAAATCTTTATCACGAAAAAGTATTTTAAAAAATTACTTTTACAGACACTTTCAATTTTTACTTAGAAATAGATGAATTCATTTACTATAAAGGAAACAAAAAAAAATTTATTTGAAAAACACAAATATTTTGTTTTATTTGGGTCTCTAATTAATAAAAAGTGACAAAACACCATTTTAAAGTATTACTTTTACAGACACTTTCAATTTTTACTTAGAAATAGATGAATTCATTTACTATAAAGGAAACAAACAAAAATTTATTTGAAAAACACAAATATTTTGTTTTATTTGGGTCTCTAATTAATAAAAAGTGACAAAACACCATTTTAAAGTGCATTGTTATTCGACTAATATATTTATAAATAATTTGTAGCCCGAAAAGTAGCCAATGCGCCAAATGATATTTTTTACGCCAAACTGAAAAAGGGCAGACAACTTTGGTGCAAAGTAGCCNTTTGTACAAACAAAATAAATGTATATTGAAAAATATAAAAACAAAAAAATTATACTTTAGAAGTTATCTAGTATCAAAGTATCAAAGTTATCTAGTATCTAGTATCAAAAACGTTCAATTCAGCATGACACAGTCCGACTGGAATGCTTTGGTTAACCGACGTTTCAGTTGATTGGCTTTCGAATAATCGACGCTCTACTGTATTAGGATATAAGCAATTACAGTTATAAAAAAGTATTGTATTTTAAGATAAATTTATATTCAAACAGGAGTGGAACTTATTTTATTTCATTACAAACAATTAACAATAAATACAAATATCCAAGAACAGTTAGGGATAGTAAAGTATGCAGAAATAGAAACTGAAAAAAGGAAAAGAGCATAACTGCATATGTATAAAGGAAAAATGAACATTCAATTTGAAACTAACTGAGCACAAATATTTTAAAGCATTAAAAAAAAGCATAAAATATTTAAAAGTAAGGAATAATGAAGTACTTTCAGATGTTGTTCTAGGCAGAAAGATTGTTATTTAAATATTGAATGAAACTTGACATACCTGATTATATAAGCTACTGTTCTTCTTCCCAATTTTGTTCTATTTAACATATATATATATATATAAGATGTCAAATAGCAACAAAATTGGGAAGAAGAACAGTAGCAAAAGTATATATCTTCAAAGCAAATGTATGGATTTTAAATTTAAAAAAACAGAAGGAAATACCAAGATTTATGTAAATTGAAATTCAAATCATTCAATAAAAATGTTTAATTCACATTTCTGAATTAAAAGATACTTTATTTCATAAATTTCTTTAAATCTGAAAAGTTTTATAATTTAATTGAAATTTTATAATCAATAAATAAAATTAAAAATATAAGAATCTAAAATCTCTCTACTTTTTAAAATATAACTAAAGCAAATGAACATTATGAAGCAATGATAATTAATTAAACATTATGAAGAATTAAAATAAGAATTAGCAACACTTACTTAAATGACCACAAGCATCCACTTTTGAAAAAAAGCTGCATCCGTAAGTGACAGCAGGAATGTAAGCTGCTTCTTCATAAGTATCATTTCTTAAATAACGAGCAATAATATTATAGACAACTCCTTGCCCAGGATATGACAAAAAAGATATCCTAGTTTTTGGACTGATTTCTAAAGGAGAAATCTATTAATAAAATATAACTACAGATGAAAAAATATATTATTAAAATAAAAAATAATTAAAGTTTGTTAATCAAAATTTTATAAAGCATTCCTTAATCTTAATAAATGAAAAAATTTTTTATTACATTAATATTGTTATCAACCCAAAAAACATTGACAATGTAAGGAATGACAACAAGGAGACAGAAAATTTAACTTTTGATTAAAATTAAAATAACTGATATGTTTGAAATGAGGCAAGAATAATAATTGTAACTATTTGTCTCTAAATGATAGTTAATTATTAAAATGATATATACAACTTTTCTAGATATTTTATTTTAATTAAATGTCATTTAAACACAAATAGTTACAATTATTATTCTTGCCTCATTTCAAACATATCAGTTAATAAAAATAAATTTTCTGTCTCCTTGTCAGTATCCCTTATATTATCAATATTTTTTGGGTTGACATAACTGCTTATTTTGTTGTTTGATTGTTAAAAAGGTTACCATTGTTGTTTATTACCTTCAGGTTTTTTACATTGTATAAATAGTACTTCCAACATATTTCAAACAAGAACATTAATCAGCTGTGCAATCCATTACAGTACATAATTCATAGTCGGTCTTCATTTTTTTTTTTATTTATCTTTATCATTGTAGTTATGATTTTTGGTTTGTTTTCTATTTTTGTAGTTTGTCCTTGTTGTCGAATTCATTAACATAAATATAAGCATCTTAACTACACCCAATACATTGCAATAACACACCTTCAATTACAGCCCGATAATATATGGCAATTGAAGATGTGTTATCACTTACATAAATTCTGATTAAGAATTAATTAATGAGAAGATAATCATTTATAAAGAACAAAATATTGCTTTAAATTAAATTTAATTAAACCAATCAAATGCATCAGAATTTTCTAGAACAATCACAAAACAGTTCATTAATTCTAGATTCTTTAATATTCCAGAATAGAAATGCTATGACAGAGAGCCCACTCAAAACAAAAAAAAAACCGCTCTGCAAACAAAAAAGTCAATTTTTCCTGATTCATACTTAATCCCTGAATAAGATCCTATATCATTTTATAATTCCCACTTCCATTACAAAATAATATAAACAACACTAAAAAGCTAATTTCAGATTTAATTTTTGTAAAAATTTATGAAAAGCCAAAATAAATAACAGTAGTATTAATATTANGAATTCAGAATACTGAATGCTGTTTTAAATTCAGACAAGGGTGATCTTATAATTCACTCAGAATAATGCTTGTCTAAATAAATCCTGTTACCTTTTTGGGCATATTTAATTCAGTCATCTTTTATAACAATTAATTTTTTAATCTTGTATAGCATAGAAAAGTATAGAAATAGTAAAAATTTAGATATCAAATAAGTAGATCAAAATTTAAGTGCAATTAAAGAATAAAAAACATAAAAAAGAGTACTCAAAGTTTAAAATTTTAATACAGTAGAGCAGTGGTTCCCAATTAGTGGTACCCCCATCATTTCATGCAATTTCGCGTACCCCCAGGGGTACACGAAATTGCATGAAGGGGTACGCGCAGCAATCTAAAATCAGTCGATTTAAAATTTAAATGCATGAGATGAAACAACCAAAAGAATAATGGGTGGACCATCAAAAATTCGTCAATTTACAACACGATGTCGAATGCACAAATTCGTTTATTTATAACTAAAAATATTCTCGAAATTTCATTAAAAAAATGCATTTGTGACAATACCTAAATGAAATTCTTACGCAAGAAACAAAAATTGTACAATTAACACAATTTGTGTTAATTGTACAATTATCATTATCATCATGTCAGCGAAGCGGCAATAAAATATTTACTACCATTTTGCACAACATACCTCTGCGAGAGCGGATTTTCGGCCATGACAAACATGAAAACTAAACATCGTCACCGACTTCAACTCGAAGATGACTCGAGACTGAAGCTGACCAAAAAGCAACCAGATTTTACAAAGTTGTGCAAAGAAAATCGTGCACATTTGTCACATTAAAATTAAATAACCTTATGTTATTTTCATTATTATTAGAATTGTATTTTAAAGGTAATAAATGTAAAAAAAAAAATTATTTTATTTATTACTAGCTGTCTACCCACAGCTTTGCCTACATTATATCAAATTTTCTCGTGGGAGTAAGATATTTTCTCGCAGTAAAATGTAGCCTATGTCCATCTCCAACATGTAAGCTATCTCTGTGCCAAATTTTATTAAAACCTGTTCAGCGGTTTAGACGTGAAAAGGTGACAGACAGACAGAATTACCTTCGAATTTATAATATTAGTATGGATTAATATGAATTTCTGCTATAAGGGGTACGCGAGTTTGAGCTCTTTCTTGAAGTGGTACGCAGGAAAAACTAATTGGGAACCACTGCAGTAGAGCATCAATTATCCGAATCAATAGGTGACTGGGGTTGTTCGAAAAATCAGTTTTTTTGGATAACCGATTATGTACATAAAATACATTATTAATATAGTATATTAGTATATTTCAATAATAGTATATTAATATGTTCCATGTTTAAAATTTTCTCCATTGCATGTCACTTTGCATTGAATTTTCATCGATGTTAAGTCTAACAAAAATTTTTATTATAATAATCGTGGCTATTGTATCATTAAAAATTATTTCTTTATTTTGTACAAACAAAATAAATGTATATTGAAAAATATAAAAACAAAAAAATTATACTTTAGAAGTTATCTAGTATCAAAGTATCAAAGTTATCTAGTATCTAGTATCAAAAACGTTCAATTCAGCATGACACAGTCCGACTGGAATGCTTTGGTTAACCGACGTTTCAGTTGATTGGCTTTCGAATAATCGACGCTCTACTGTATTAGGATATAAGCAATTACAGTTATAAAAAAGTATTGTATTTTAAGATAAATTTATATTCAAACAGGAGTGGAACTTATTTTATTTCATTACAAACAATTAACAATAAATACAAATATCCAAGAACAGTTAGGGATAGTAAAGTATGCAGAAATAGAAACTGAAAAAAGGAAAAGAGCATAACTGCATATGTATAAAGGAAAAATGAACATTCAATTTGAAACTAACTGAGCACAAATATTTTAAAGCATTAAAAAAAAGCATAAAATATTTAAAAGTAAGGAATAATGAAGTACTTTCAGATGTTGTTCTAGGCAGAAAGATTGTTATTTAAATATTGAATGAAACTTGACATACCTGATTATATAAGCTACTGTTCTTCTTCCCAATTTTGTTCTATTTAACATATATATATATATATAAGATGTCAAATAGCAACAAAATTGGGAAGAAGAACAGTAGCAAAAGTATATATCTTCAAAGCAAATGTATGGATTTTAAATTTAAAAAAACAGAAGGAAATACCAAGATTTATGTAAATTGAAATTCAAATCATTCAATAAAAATGTTTAATTCACATTTCTGAATTAAAAGATACTTTATTTCATAAATTTCTTTAAATCTGAAAAGTTTTATAATTTAATTGAAATTTTATAATCAATAAATAAAATTAAAAATATAAGAATCTAAAATCTCTCTACTTTTTAAAATATAACTAAAGCAAATGAACATTATGAAGCAATGATAATTAATTAAACATTATGAAGAATTAAAATAAGAATTAGCAACACTTACTTAAATGACCACAAGCATCCACTTTTGAAAAAAAGCTGCATCCGTAAGTGACAGCAGGAATGTAAGCTGCTTCTTCATAAGTATCATTTCTTAAATAACGAGCAATAATATTATAGACAACTCCTTGCCCAGGATATGACAAAAAAGATATCCTAGTTTTTGGACTGATTTCTAAAGGAGAAATCTATTAATAAAATATAACTACAGATGAAAAAATATATTATTAAAATAAAAAATAATTAAAGTTTGTTAATCAAAATTTTATAAAGCATTCCTTAATCTTAATAAATGAAAAAATTTTTTATTACATTAATATTGTTATCAACCCAAAAAACATTGACAATGTAAGGAATGACAACAAGGAGACAGAAAATTTAACTTTTGATTAAAATTAAAATAACTGATATGTTTGAAATGAGGCAAGAATAATAATTGTAACTATTTGTCTCTAAATGATAGTTAATTATTAAAATAATATATACAACTTTTCTAGATATTTTATTTTAATTAAATGTCATTTAAACACAGTTACAATTATTATTCTTGCCTCATTTCAAACATATCAGTTAATAAAAATAAATTTTCTGTCTCCTTGTCAGTATCCCTTATATTATCAATATTTTTTGGGTTGACATAACTGCTTATTTTGTTGTTTGATTGTTAAAAAGGTTACCATTGTTGTTTATTACCTTCAGGTTTTTTACATTGTATAAATAGTACTTCCAACATATTTCAAACAAGAACATTAATCAGCTGTGCAATCCATTACAGTACATAATTCATAGTCGGTCTTCATTTTTTTTTTTATTTATCTTTATCATTGTAGTTATGATTTTTGGTTTGTTTTCTATTTTTGTAGTTTGTCCTTGTTGTCGAATTCATTAACATAAATATAAGCATCTTAACTACACCCAATACATTGCAATAACACACCTTCAATTACAGCCCGATAATATATGGCAATTGAAGATGTGTTATCACTTACATAAATTCTGATTAAGAATTAATTAATGAGAAGATAATCATTTATAAAGAACAAAATATTGCTTTAAATTAAATTTAATTAAACCAATCAAATGCATCAGAATTTTCTAGAACAATCACAAAACAGTTCATTAATTCTAGATTCTTTAATATTCCAGAATAGAAATGCTATGACAGAGAGCCCACTCAAAACAAAAAAAAACCGCTCTGCAAACAAAAAAGTCAATTTTTCCTGATTCATACTTAATCCCTGAATAAGATCCTATATCATTTTATAATTCCCACTTCCATTACAAAATAATATAAACAACACTAAAAAGCTAATTTCAGATTTAATTTTTGTAAAAATTTATGAAAAGCCAAAATAAATAACAGTAGTATTAATATTACACTAAATCCTCAATGGACTTCAAATTTAATGAACAAAATTCTATAGTTTCCAAGTTAGAATTTCCTCTATAATTAAATGAATTTCAAAGTTATTTTATTTACTCATTCTTGTGATTAATTTATTTTTATTTAATACAATTACAAGGTTAAATAATACATATAGCAAAATTTGTAGCTTTCATGTAGGTACATATAGACAGTGCTGTTTGAAAATACAGTACAGGTGTAATGCTATTATATGCAATTGAAGGCGTAGTGCATTTCTAAAAATATGTATGAATATCTAATGTTCAAATATCAAGCAATAAAGCTTCATTTTATAAAGTACAACAGAGCAGGGGTGTCCAACCTTTTTGTTCCTCTGGGCCACATTGGAAGAAGTCATGGAGTTTTGGGTCACAAGTATATATAATATATTTGTGACTCAATCCTTAAATATACAAGTATATTTAAGGATTAACAAGTCTAGATTATAGTAGTAAGTATTAAAACTTTATCACGTAAAAGGATATTTTAAAAAATTACTTCTCCAGACACTTTCAATTTTTACTTAGAAATAGATAAATTAATTTATTATAAAGGAGACAAACAAAAATTTATTAGAAAAACACAAATATTCGTTTTATTTGGGTCTCTAATTAATAAAAAACGACGAAACACTATTTTAAAGTGCATTTTTATTCGACTAATATATTTATAAATAATATGTAGCCCAAAAAGTAGCCAATGAGCCAAATGATATTTTTTACGTCAAAATAAAAAAGGGTAGCCAAATTTGGCGCAAAGTAGCCAAATCATGCAACACTGGAAGGAATACTAAATAAAGCCGGAGTTGGACTCAAAGGATTATAGACCCAAATGCGGGGAAGGGAGAGAAAGGACAAAAGATAAAGAAGTGAGGAAAGTTGGAAAATTAAG